ACAGTACTTGATTTTAATATAGTTTGCAAGGAAAAACAAACAAAACTCTATTTTAGAATTAACGACTTTTTTGTTTTCACTTAGTTAGATTTCTTGCGAACCACTCATTAGATTTTGATGATTTTTTTTAAATTCTAAATTAATTCCTTCTTAACGGATACTACGTCAGAAATTTTTATTCCGAATTTATTTTGAGCATATACAGGGCACAGGTTAGGTTAGGTTAGGTTGCTGGGGTTTGGGATCATATTTGATCCCTCACTCGGAGGCCTTGGGCCCATTGCGATACCCCTGTATTGTTTTACCAAACCTTCCTCTCATTCTTTCTTTGCGTTAAAGCACTTCCAGCTCTTTGCAAAGTTCCCGATGTCGCTGATGTTGGCTTCTGCAAATTGTAAAATTAATTCCTTCTTAACGGATACTACGTCAGAAATTTGTATTCCGAATTTATTTTGAGCATATACATGGCATAATAATAAGACGAAGTTTATTGCCCGAACTTTGTAACACCCTGTGGGGTGCAGCAGCTGTAGTAGCTATTGCTTTAAATCAAATCGCGTTGTAGCCTCATCCTTTTTTGAGCATTTTGCAAAACGCTCAAAAAGATGAAGATGACAATTTTGCAAATGCTTCGCAGGCAGAAAGTTTTAATGTGTAAATAATCAAGGCGACATAGGCGAAAACGGATTTATGAGTATTTGCAATATTACAACAACGGTTGTCAAATTAAAATGCCATTATCTGTGACGGATGTTGCTCGTATTTTGGCTTTAATTGAGGATGGCCAAAGTAAACGTTATGTGTCCGATACACGGGGTATATCTCGAACAACAGTCCAGGATGCCTGGAATCGGTATACGAAAACGGGAAATTTCACCAGACGAGTGGGTTCGGGAAGAAAACGGAAAGACAAATGCATTTGACGACCGCTTTATTGTCATGAATATTTTACGAAATCGTAGAATTACAGTGTTTCGGAGTCAACATCTGCTACAATCCGTGCGTAGAACTCAAGTCAGTGAGAGAACAATCCGACGAAAACTAAAATAAAGCAGCTTTTCTGCAAGGAGACCTGTCATATAGGACCCCAGCTACTTCCAAGACATCGTCGGGCACGTCTTCAGTTTGCGCATTTACATGTGAATTGGGATATTGAGCAATCGACTAAAGTCCTTTTCACGGACGAATCGCGGTTTTGCCTGCGAAGCATGTTTCGAGACGTTCGTTTTGAAGCAGTACGTATCAGCAATACAAACAGAGATAATGTCGTGATTAAAAAAAATGCTCACAAAGATGAGGCTACAATGTGATTTGGTTTAACAATAGCTACTATAGCTGTTGTACCCTACAGGGTGTTACAAAGTTCGGGCAATAAATTTCGTCTTATTATTGTGCCCTGTATATGCTCAAAATAAATTCGGAATAAAAATTTCTGACGTAGCATCCGTTAAGAAGGAATTAATTTACAATTAAAAAGTAATCATCTTAATTGTCAAGCCTATAACAAATGCGGCCTTGACTTCGACTGAGCAGCAGTAGAAAATCCTCTAGAATCTAACTGGGTGCTAGCTCGCGTTGCAACGCTGGCAACGGTGTCTGCAATCTATCACACGCATTGAGAGGCTATTCCTCCCACCGGAGCGGACGTGGAAGCTATCATTAGAATTGGTTCTTTGTTTAAACGGTTGTGGGTCCATCTGTTGTGTGATACGTACGTGCGGCGGCGTACCTCGTGCAATATGGAAGACAATTAAGAATCTATTAAGAAGAAGATAATTAGGAGAATCAACCTTAATACGGACATGGACGTGCAAATACCGCCAACTTCGTTTGTCAGGAATAGCGTTGAAAATGTTGGAGAATTAAAGAAGAGTGTGTGTGAGTGTGTGGTGTGAGTCCTAATAATACAATTATTTTCAGCATTAAACTTCGCAGATGAGCGTCAATTAATTACTAAAGGTAGGGCAAACCGCCTATGAAAAATTTAACCACAAAAATGAAAGAAAAAAAGAATCGAATTACATTACAAAGATGTCTAGTAAATAAGAGTTCAATGCTTTGCGAAATGAAAAAAATGATGTTATGGATTTGATTTCAAATGGCAGGTGATTGTGCATTTTTTTCGAGTTGTATAATATTGAACTTTTAACTAACTCTGAGCGTGGGGTAGGTAAATAAAGATCTTGCTCCGCGTTCCTGAGTGGATAAGTGTTTAATTTATATGGTTTTGTAACAAATTGATCGCTATTTTATGGCAAATTCTGAAGCTTTGCAAACCTTAATCAAGCCTTAACCAAAGCACGTGTGTTTGGAATTTTGGGTATGACTTAACAGGACAGAATCGGGCAAAGCCTTAGGCAGATTTCTGAAATGTAATATATATTTCCTTCGGCCACACATTCGCTTTACCCGAACAGTACAGCGTAATAGATTCTTAATGTCATATGAAATACCAAAACTATTGCAAACAACTCTGGAGAAATCATTGGAGAATATTTTATTTATTTTGTATATTTATATATAGATTTCTTCTTTTTCTGTCTCCAATTCGAAAATTGCTCGAATAAAACCCATCGATTTGCGCGTTTATATTTTATTCTTAATTCTGCTGCCGGTATTTCCCAGCGAAATTTTATACGTTTTAGCTCAATTGTGATGCAGCGAGATGCGACGCCAGGCTCGAGACGGAAGTGCAAATAAACGAGACGATCTCGCCTCTGTGCATCCGTGTATATAAACTGGGACTAGTTTGAAAAATTACACGGCATAAACATATTTCAAAAAAGTTACAGGGAATTACATAGCGCTCTACGGCCGGCGCGGCGTATCCGGTCTTCCCTATAGGTTATTGATTTATTATTTTTGATATTTGCGGGTTGGGCTTGAAATGGAATGGAACTGTAAAGGTCTTATACAGGGTGGTCCGAACTGTATTCCGGAAACTTTGGCAGCATATTCTCCAGATAAAAATAAGTAAAAAAGTGTGTATAAATGTATGTCCTAAAATGCTTCGTTTCGGAGATACAGGGTGTGGAAATTTAATTTTTATTTCGATTTTTTTCAAATAATTTCTGAAGTAACGTCAATATTTGGATGAAAATTGGTATCTGGTAGTTTTTTTGACAGGAGACGTTAAAAAATTGATTTTTATGTCAATATGTACCTGTATAAAATTACTGAAAAAATATACATTTGTGACGTTTTTTACGTAAAAAAGGCTCTTGGTAAAAATCGCTACGAGTAATGGTTCTTGACATATTTGGAACCGAAATTAACAATACCTGTCATTATTAACATAAATTAAATATGTTGACTAAATAGTTATTAGACTGAATTCATAAATTTGAAATGTTTTTGTGCCAAAGGTTCCATAGAACCTGTTTGACCATCATTTTTTCGAAAATAAAATAACATTAATATAAAAAAATAAAAAGTTGCCAAGTTTATCATTTCAGTCAAAAATCCAATCTATTCAATATGTTCATTTTTTTCAATAAAGACATGTATTGACTATTTTCATTCTAAATATCTTGAGAACAGTTGCTCGTAGCGATTTTTACCGAGGGACATTTTTTACGTAAAAAATCACGGAAATATATACTCTTTCACTCAGTAGTTTTATACGGGTACGGACAAAAAGTTATTACTCTTCAAAACACATGTAGGTGGCGCCCTCTGCAAATAGGAGTTATATTAACATCAAGATCAAATTTCTCATGTCAAAAAACTCCCAATTTTCACAATACCAATTTTCATTCAAATATTGACAAAATTAATTGGAAAAAATAGAAATGAAAATGAAACTTCTACACTCTGTAATACAAAGTGTAGAGATGCTATCTCCGAAATTAAGAATTTTAGGACATGCATTTATAGGAACTTTTTTACCGACAAAAAAAATTCCGGAATACAAGTTGTACCACCCTGTATATAAATAATGTCTATACATTTGTAGCGTGTTTGTTTTTCAAAAAATTCGGATATTTAACCATTAGCAGAAAATCAATTTGTCAGTGATATTTTACTAATAAAACACATTTATCATTTTATTTTATTTTACTTTTTTTATTTTTTTTTTTTTTTTTTTTTTTTTTTTTTTTTTTTTTTTTTTTTTTTTTTTTTTTTTTTTTTTTTTTCTTTTTTTTCTTTTTTTTTTCTTTTTATGTTTTTTTTTTAATTTTTTAGCTTTCTTGTCCGTTAGGAAAATTTGTTTTATTGGTAAAATATCACTGATAAATTGATTTTCTTCTAGAGGCGAAAACCAAACCCAGAATTTTTTTGAGAAATAAAGTCCGCTATACAAAACTTAATTTATCTTAACTTCATACCGCTTAACAGTGAAGTTTGAGGTTTTTTCTTGTGGATACCGATTACTGATTAACTTAATGATTCACCAATCAATTTGATAGTTGTCATTTGTTGTCAATGTTTTTTCTAGATTTGAATATGTTGACTATGGTTTAGCTTTTGGCATTCAACTGGTGTTTTTAAAATAGGGGCAAGTAGTAATTGGTCGAAAAAAGTCTTTAAAGTTTATTAATATATGAAAAATATGGAATACACAAAATCCGAATTACAAAATTAAAAAAAGAAGAGTCATTTAGAGTTTAAGCCAAGTACATATAACGTTATGCATGAATGTGTCTTGTTTTATAATTATTCAGTGAGCAACTTTTTCCAACAAAAAGTTAATTTAATTTAAATTGGTTTAAAATCCATCCTTATTTTTTTATCTTCTATTCATTCTTAAATATATCTCTAGGATCTCCCAATCTATATCTTAGGTATTAAATTATTAGATGCATTATAAGTATATCTATGTTTACGTCTAGTTCTTTACTCAGTAAGTTTTCTGTGAATTCTATTGCCAATATTTCGACAGTTTACTTGTAGAAACTAGCAGAATCAATTTACGTGACTGAAAAAGCACCTTAAGCCTCCTTTATCAGTACAGAGATTTTCTGCTTCTTTCTTCTTTAATTTCAAACTTTCTATTCCAGAAAACTAGCGGACATCTCCCGATCGACCAGAGGCGTCGTAGTCCTCTTCAGCGACCGTCCCAGCGCAGTGCGCATCCTCGACGACGCCAAGCGCCTCAACATGATGGACGGCCACTTCGTCTGGATCTGGATCGACACGGCCGCGTCCATCGCCATCCGCAACGCCACCGAGGACCCCGGCAACGTCCCCGCAGACCACGAAACGCCCCCTCCGCGACACAAACGAAGTGTTCTCTCATCTACTGACGTTCTCGAAGACGTCCACGTGAATTATTTGTTAAGAAACGACCATTTTCTTTTGTTAAACCGTAACAGCGCAAGCGTAACAAGTTCTAAAAATGCCGAGATGAACGATGCCAGCGTTGCGGCGCAGCAGCATCGGGCGTATTATAGTGCGCAGCCACGTAGCAGTAGTAGTAGTAGGGGCGAGGGGGAACTGCCCGCGGGGTTGTTGGGGCTGAAGCCGTTGCCGGTGAAGGTGGACAGGCACTTGGTGAAGGGGGCGGTGAGGTTGCTGATGACGACGTTGAAGACGGTGATCGCGAGGTCGCCGCAGTGGGTGGTGCAGAGCGTCGCGTCGAACCAGTTTGTTACTAGTTGTTGGGACGATGTGAAGAAGGATTCCGGGTTTTCCATGGATTTTGGAAGGTGAGTAAAGTAATTGTAAAATTTTAATGGGATCTAACCTATCGTTTTTTTTTGCGTGGAAGAATTGTAAACAAAGTTAACAGCGATAACCAAAAAGTAAAGAGGCAACAAAGCAATGAGATTTTTGAGTGTCCGTAGTGCGGTAGACAGATAACATCACGTATCGAGCTTTTCAGTCACAGAGAAGCTCATGAAAGAAAACGTCTTGCGTGACCATCTTCTGATGCGTGTCAAATACTCGTCAGCGAGTAATGGCAGTATGTATACAGGATGTCCCAGAAATAAGTGCAAATATTTTAACTGGTAGTATAGTTCAACCCCAGAAACACGCCTATGAGGTTTTTTTGCGAAAAAAAAAATGTTGAAAATTTAAAATTTTTCTTGACATTTTCCGGAAAATTTGAAAAAACTTTTTAGTGCCACTTGTTTATTCACCTGAGATTTCTCTACGGTGTATCTAAACCTTGCAGTGTTGCAACCTCCTATGTTATCCACATTCTACATAGTTCTACATTTATAAATTTATAGAAAAATTTCTACTCAAAAATTAGGAATGTTAAATTTTTATCAGTGCTCATTATTAATAATTATTATAGAAAAAAAACACATTAATTATTTTTAGTACTTACCCTTTCAATGAAAACTTAACAAAAACCACCGAAAATTAACTAAAACATTACGTTTATGACGTTTACGAAAATGATTCATCATATTATTCACAACCAGGTCACAAAAAAGAAATTCCTAAAATGTTTATCGTAATTTAGAATTCAATATTTGTTTTCTTTCATGTTTCTCTGTTTTATTTGAACCACTGATTTACAAAACACCTTGAAAAGCGCACATTACTTTGAATACCGTCTCTTATCGCCACTTTACGAACTACTTTCAATCTAAGACATGTTTCACTCAACAATTTTAAATACGTATTTTGTTTTTTCGCTATTTTTTCGATGTATTTTGACAGCCCAACCGTCGCGCGTCGACCAAGAGTGCCACGTGTGAACTGGTCCTTTGAGCCGCGCCGTCGTGGCAGGCTTGCGTCAGACGACAATGTTAAGCAACGTTGCCGTAGTTACAACAATTTCAAATTCAAGACATTCGAAGCAATCAAATTTGTATTAACAGAGAGACATGAAAGGAAACAAACAAAACGAAAATGAATTGATTATTCGTCGGGTTGTTTTCGATATATTGAATTCTGAATTACGATAAACATTTTAGAAATTTCTTTTTTGTGACCTTATCAATAATCAATTCATTTGTGTTTTGTTTGTTTCCTTTCATGTTTTTCTGTTTTATTTTTAAAATTTAATCAGTATTTGATTGCTTCGAGTGTCTTGAATTTGAAATTGTTGAAACTACGGCAACCTGGCATGACGCAAGTTCGACACGCCGGCGCGACAAAGAAGCAGTGAGCAGTTACCAACCAGTGATGCGTGGCTGTCTTGGCCGATGGTTGGGCTGTTGATGGAATTGTCGAAATACATCGAAAAAATAGCGAAAAAGCAAAATACATATTTAAAATATTTAAAATTGTTGAGTGAAACATGTATTTTCTTAGATTGAAAGTAGTTCGTAAAGTGGCGGTAAGAGACAATAGTTCTCAACATTCATTCATTCAGAAAGATATTCAAAGTAATGTGTAATGTGTGCTTTTCAAGGTGTTTTGTAAATCAGTGGTTCAAATTGTGATGAAGCCTATATGAAAATAATGTGTTAAGTTAAAAATGGGGACTGTTATTTTAGCAGTTTTTATAATAGCACGTACATGTAAAGCAGCACAATGAATGTATTTTAGTTAAGTGTGTATCGAAAAAGAGAACCGTCACAGTTACATCGATCTGTCATAAGTATCTTTTTTAATGTTGGGTAAGTTTTTTAATTTAACTTTTAAACATTTAACTTTTAATTTATTTTATGTAATAATATCACAATCTTAAAAATGTAATGCATCTCTGCAAACTCCTCAGGTGTTGTGATTTTATGACTTGCTTTTAACATATACTTTCTTGTCCCTATGGCAACACAGTGCGTCGAATTAACTGAAATCCGGGCTTGATCCGGGTAATTGGATGTAGTTGGCGATATCTGCCGGCGGTCCTCAAAATGTTGCGATTATTTTTTTAAATTTTCAAAGTTAAATAACTCGGTTATTTTCAATTTATTTTAAAAATGGTAAAGAGAAAATATGTTTATTTTGACCAGATCTACCACCCCTTAAAATATCTGCACTCATTTCTGGGACACCCTGTATAATGTATATACATTATCATGTTACATTCCCTCATGTCATACAAAATCACTTCGAAATACTCCCAAAATCTTCTAATATTTCGATGGACACAGAATTTTTGTCGTCGACACTAAAAACTGAATATCTTCAATTGTTCAATTTTATTTTATGATCGAGTACTTTAAGAAAGAAGAACTTAGGCGAAACTAGTGGAATAAATTAGTGGTTTCAATTAGCGTAGAAATTTGTTCCTCTGATTTCAATGTAAGAATATAGAACGTCAAAATTAGTGGTAAACATTTTCAATTAGTAGAGAAAGTTATCAAACTTTTAACTTTTTCACTAATTATACTTCAAAATAAGGTGCCTGGTGGCGTAGAGGTACAGGCTCTCGTCTACCAATCTGAAGGTAGTGGGTTCGATTCCCACACCCGGCATTTCATCAGCCGACTATTTTTATTAAAATAAAAAGAGTTTGGGTACCTAGGTCAACTCAGCCTTAAATGAGTACTTGGGATCTACAATCCTGAGGTAATAATAGGCGGTTGAAGCGTAGTGCTAGCCACATTACCTTCCTTGTATACCGAACGGCTTTAGTATAGCAAGCTGTACAGGGTGGGTCAAATTCGACGCTTTTAAATGGAAACTCCCTTTTCTATAGGAGATAGACAAAAACTAATATCGGTGTCTGGAGCTCAATTTTTGTCAAAAACATGATGGTGAAAACCGCATATCGATATCTGTTACCGTTTCGGAGTTACGGGGTGTTTTTCAAAAATATGCATTTTTAACAAATCGCTGTAACTTTTTTGCTATGGAAAATTTTGTATTTATATGAAAACATTTCCACAGCAACTTTTTACGTAGAATTTAATGGTTTAAGTATAATTTTTTTAAAATTAATAATTTAAGAATTATCAACAGAAAATTTGATTTTTTATATGGGACAGCCTGTATATTTTTAATTTATTGAAAAGAATTTAAAATTACCTTTCCAAAAATATAACACACTTGATATTTTGCTCGATTCCTCTTCGAGATATAGAGTATATAAAAATTTGCCCGCTTTAAATAAGTAGGCTTTGAACGGCACCGGCTGTAATGCAAAAAAATTCTAGCTGTGAGCATCAATTAAAACGAAAATAATATTTGCTATGAGAGATGCAGAATTTTATAACAATTTAAAATATATTTAACCAACATCAACACATTTAAACTAATAAAAATAAATAGCAAACCAAGACATGAGATTTTGCTACAAGTGTTCGACAGAAGTTAGGTATGGACAGAGGGGGCGGTTTTTGAACATTTCTCGCGGAATTCATTAACTCAGTAGGGGTGAAAGATACCCTCTCATAACTTCTGAGTATTTTTAATTATGTCTAGATTATACGGAAGAATAAGGAACCTTTATTCTTCCGCAAATATATCCATAGGATTAGATCCATGGGCACTAAGTCAGGCGGCCTCGACGGCCAACGGCTGGGATCTTGGTTAGCTATCCAGTTATTCTTGAAATTGGCTGCAAAAATTTGCTGATAACTTCAGCGTTCAGAGGCGGTGCATCGTCTTGCTGGAAAAATATGTTTTCGTGTTCCATTAAGGGCATATCATCAATAAAGGGCCCAAAGCCTACTAGTTAAAAGTGACGAACTTTTAAAAATTCTGTATTTCGAAGAGGATTATAACAAAGTATCAATTATGCTATATTTTTGGAAAGGTAATTTTAAATTTCTTTCAGTTAATTAAAAATATAGAGGGTGTCCCAAATAAAAAATCAATTTTTCTGTTGATAACTCTTAGAAATCTTTTCAAAATTTGCGAGAAATGTCATTTTGGCCTTAGATTATCTTCCGTCAAGAAAAATTGTGGTTAGAAATCAAAAGTTGATTGTTTTACAAGCTAAATATTAGGCTTTCTCTATGGATACAACTGACTAACGCAAGCTGTTGCTAAGATATTCTATTACTTTTAATTCTGTTTTTAAACATTGTGAATGATCGTAAACTAAAAAGTATAAACTGTACTTGAAACCACTAATTTATTGCAATAATTGCTAGGTTCCGAATGAAGCTTTAGTTTGTGCAGCTCAAAAATTTGGCTTGAGAATAAAAATTTGTCTCGTGTTCATTGTTAACTGAGCGTTACCACGGTTTTAGATAGCTGTGAAGTCTGTTGGTTAACTAAAAAACTAAATTTAACGTCAGAATTTGTTTATGGAATTTGCATTTAATTGTGGTGAGTTTTTTTAAGGTAGTTTAATATTGGTGCAGTTTGGTTTAATTAATAAATAAATAATAAATTAACTGAGAGTGTAACTTGTCCTTTAGGCTTTCTCTATGGATAAAACTGACTACAGCAAGCTTTTGCTAGGATATTCTATTAATTTTGATTGTATTTTTTAGACATTGTCAATGATTATAAACGATAAAGTATATACCGTGCTGGCATCTGTTACTTTTGGGTCGGCATTTACATGTGTGGAAGTAAATCGCATAGGGATCTTATTAAGTCGGAGTGAGAGAAATGCGACCGACCGACGCGACGCGCGACGGTGTGCTGTTGCGGCGTTGCCGATACGCCTTTGCCTATCAAGTAAAGTAAAATCACTATCGCAAACCGCTTATTTTTAAAAAACTTTTTTTTCAAGAGATAACTAGATAAAATCATTAGACATGTTTCTGAGCATCTGAAATGAAATTATAAGGATATCGTTAGGGTGTCATTTTTTATAACGAGAAAACGTCAGTAATCGCGATAATTT